AAAGAGGAAAACGATATAATTTATTTAATCATTAATATGATTCATCAATCTGATGTTCATTTGTAATTAAAGCTAAAAAATATATTTCAATTCCATGATTCAAGTTTATTAGAACTAAAATGTAGAGGGAAACAAGATTGTGGCATTGCGTCTCGTTTTATTGAACTTGTGGCACTCCAAATTCCAAAATCTTTCTGTGACCCTCGTAATATTAAACAGGGCTCCCTTGTGGGCATGTGGATCCGAGTTAAGGACCACTGTTCTAATATAACAAAGCAGTTATTTTAAAAGATAAAATTAATTACTCAACATAATGTAGATACATGTTTAGAGACAAAAAGATCATTCCTTTAAAAGATTTATTTTTTATTTGAAAAGTTTTGTTGAAAATATATTTCAAGATTATTTTTGGAAAACAATTAACTGAAGAGAATTGGCTTTTCAGCTGATTTTATGCAATAATTTAAATCCTAAAGTTGTTCGGTGCAAGGAATTATGGAAACTTAACACCTATTAGCACTAGGCACACTATTTTCCTTCCATTTGTATTCCATTGGTAAGAAGCAAGTCTCATTTGGACAGCTTCTTCCCAAGAGCCGCTGCTTTAGGGAACAGACTATTGAGGGGATGCTTTCCCGACCACTATAATCTTAACCTCTTACGTCTAGTTTCAACTATTATATATCCTACATATCCTCATAAAATTCCAATTCTAACGTTCATAAAACAGCCCCTTTCAATAAATCACGAGAGTCTCTATGGCATTTTATTGAGAGAATAATGGCGTAAATAAAATAATTTTTCCCCATATTTTATTAAAATTATTTTAACTCCAGTCTTACCAACCTCGTTTTCACTTATGTCGTCCACTTGTAAATTGTCTTCTCCGCTGTCATATTTGGTGAAATAGTGAACAGCTGCGAACTGGATGAGAGTGGCCAGCACAAAAACGTAGCACATGGCAACGTAGACATCAAGGGCGGTCGAGTAGGACACCTTGGGCAGATAGGTTCGGTTGTCAAGCCCAAGGAAAGTCATGGACAAAACAGTTGTGGTACCTGAGGGGACGAAAGATAAAACTCAGTTTATATGAATGCAATGAGATTTGCTTTTCCAATTTACACGTTCAAATATCAATCTGTCATGATGCGTGAAGAATCATTCACTGGGAATAGATATTTGGGGTGGGGGCGTTACTATGTAAGTCCCAGAGAGAGAGAGAGAGAGAGAGAGAGAGAGAGAGAGAGAGAGTGAGTGAGAGAGAGAGAGAGAGATTTCATGTTGCCAAAAATCTAAATTTTGGACAGACGATAAAATTTCTCTCTTTTAGGAGCAATAAAACCATCAACAATATGTCTTTATGTTGAAGTTTCCGTTCACTATGAATATGTTGCTTGGAATTATTTCTTCTTACAGTTAAATATGAAACATTTATTTCCTTTGAGCTTTGATTTATCTAATAGTGAGAGGCATAGATATAATTTCAACTTGGGACACCGGTTATAAGTATATGCTCGATGTACTCTTAGTAATTTCAATAGATTTATTATTATAGTCATTTGTCAACATTTCTTCCTGCACTCAAAACTGGCTTTTTTAAGAAAGCTATATGTGAGTGTACTAGAAAAGGAACCTTGATGGGTTTTTTAAAGTAAATTCCATTAAATCGCTTACCGAGGGCTATTCTGTCAGATGTGGCTTCTCTGTGAATCCAAAAAGACACCCAAGATAGGACAACGAGCAGGCAACAGGGTACATAGACTTGGAGAAGGAAGAATCCCATATGACGTTTCAAGTGGAAGTGGACGCTCAACATTGAATGAAGGGCTGAGAAAAAAAAGAAAAGAAATGAAACTCTTTAAAACATGAAAAATTGAATGCTGAAAACAAAAACACTCAACTTCCAGAGATTACGCGAAAACGGTCATGATGGTTTTGAACATTAAAGACATCGGTTGTCTGGAAGCCAAAAAATCAACTTATTGGTACATTATTGAATAAAAAGTTTAAATTGTTAATAACAATCAAGGTAGATAATTAAAATATAACTGGCCAAAAATAAACGCAAGAAATAAAAAAAATCCTGTTCAAAATGTTAAAATAAATATTTAGAAATTTACAAATAACTAAAATATTGTAGATTAGTAACTGGAAAGCAAATTCAGAAAATGAAATTGAATTTATTAAGAAAGGCGAAATTGAAGAAAGATGGCAATCGAAAAGTTTTACAAGGAAGAAAAACCTGAACATCAAAGAGTACCTTCAAATGAAATCAAAATTGAAAGAAGAAAATCAATTCAAAAATTGAATAGAAGCTAAAAAGAAAGTTGAAATTCAAAGTCTGAAATAAATGAATGAAAAAAAAGTTTTGAATGGAAGGCGGGAATAAAGATCAATCAGTTTGAATTGAACAGACAAAAGAAATCGAAAGACTAGGAAGAAACGGAAGGCATCTAAGCAATGGAAAAGTTGACATTAAAAGAGATAAAGGACCCTAAAACCCTGATAAAGAATAAAATGCAAAAAAATAATATTCAATTTTAGAAAAATGAATACCGGTCATGTGGCAGAAGAGACAAAAATCTGAGTGAAATGAATAGTTGAATAAGAATTGCTTAATCAGCGTCGAAGAAAAATATAGACATGACAAATAAGCAGGAATAAATAAAGATCTTTACTAAAATAAAAGACCATGATTTATATCTTATGAAAAATATATTAAAAATGATCATTCAGTGTTAAAGGAATAATTTGGACGAATACAATCGATACAATATTGAATAATGGGAAAAACTATTACTAAAAGAAAAACGATTTTAACATATACTAAAAAATGAAAATAAAAAAAATGAAGAAAAATCGTGATTGTCATAATTTAAAAATCGAAATGTCATGATTCATTTCGTTTTAATTTCAATCTTATTTACCCAGACTCTCACTCTGTAGCTGTTCATACAGAGCAAGGATAGATTCTTGACAAGCCCTATCGACGTTGTAAAATAACCACAACGGCAATGGTAGTCGTAATTCTCAATTAGTTTATTCTCGTACCAACGAGATACAAATACAAAAATATATCTGGCCCCTGACCACTCAACTGTTTATGTAACACTGAATGATGCAACTTATGTCTGCCTGTGGAAGTCTCCCATTATCTAATGAGACCTTCCATTTCTACACTACATTCCCCCTCCATACTCTGACCAAGGGTGGATTGACGTGGTCACTTGAAGGTTTGCTTCAGAATATGTGTGCGATTGTCCTCGCATTTGTAGGGATAGATAGGGATAGTGTTTCTTCGACGTGGGCGATAATTTGGGCTTTTTATCGTCCGATATTGGTGTTCTCCAATATTATTTTGTATTAGACCAACTGAATCTGTGGTGTCGTCAATTTCCATTTCTTCAAGAACATTTATTGCAGTATTTGGTTTATAATGTCTGTTGGGTGATAAGGGATTATAATCCGTGTCGACAACCATAGAGGATTTACGCTGCGGCTGGACCCCAGAACTTGCAGAGGTATTATACGGTTCTGATGTAGATGTGATTAATCTATTTTCCGTGTTGCTATCTTGAACCGGCTGTAAATAGACGTGCTAAATCGGGGTGCTATGAGGTCAAGGTACCCGCTCCCTGGGTAATAATGATGTGGGGCGCAAACAACTGGGTGGATCTTACGGAGGAAGCGACGATTGCTTAGAGTTACCCGATTGCTTTCATCCACCCGCACACGGTACTGTTGCTTACCGAAAATATCAGCGATTTTTCCTGTTTTTGCCCACTGACGAGTGTAAGGGTCATCTTGATTTTGGACTGCATCAGTTGTAGTCGCCTGGTAGAATGACCGTCTACTTTTTTTTATATGTTCAGATGATATTTGAGGACGTTTTGTCGATTCCTCTGATGGGATCCATGCTAGGTACCGGGAGGCGCTGCAATTGCAGCGTTAAGTTTTCCAAGAAGATGTTTAATGCTGAATTTGTACATTAGTGTGCGTTCCTTGAAATTAAAGAGAAGTGGTTTCTTTATGTTTTCGAGGGCCCTATATGAGAAAGTTTTTGAGCAGGTTGATGGTCAACAAACACTAGCAAATCAAATGGAGGCAGCGTTTAGTTCTTGTAAGTGAGAGGGAGCCGTCATTTTTGGGTGCGACTATCAGGTTGTAGGAGTGCCCTTTGGTACCAGCTCAATTATACCGAATGCAAAGCCTGTCTTCTTCCAGTGGTGAGGGACAGGGATCAGTGTGTGAACCATTGATGGCGTCCCATCAGGGACGAAGGTTTCCTGTCATAATCTGTAAGGTTTGGTGTGGGCATGTATTAAATGCACTGGACTTGAAATGGTCACGTATCTATCGTTCCAGTAAGTGCCTGTTGGTTTCTATCGGAAGGAACGGAATGATACTAAGCATCGCTGGAATGGATTTTCTCTATGGGCATGTGCACAGGGCATTTTCCTTTACACCCTTCAACGAGTTGAGCCGTGATGTCTAGGCTGGGAAATCAGGTGGTAACAGATGTAGGTCATTCTGATAAGTAAAAAAACCGAACGTGTTGTTTGACACTTACACCAGCTGTCGCGTCTAGAACCAATTTTTATATACATGAACAACACGCCTTTTATATGAAGTTGGGTTGGCTGTCTGTGATGCTCCGTATTCGATGACTAGTTGGCACAAGGTACTCGCCGACCACCTGAGTAGTTTTAATTCTCTGGTAAAAGTTTGAGCCGGCGAACACGAGGATGCGATGACTACCGTGGCTAATTGGACCAGTCTGGGAGCGTCTAAATGAAGCGTGCATTATAGTTTCTTCTCGTGTCAGTGATGACGATGGACCTGGTGCACCTCCTTTAAATCGCTTTCCTTTCCACACAAAATGATGCACATTACCGGGCGGTATGAAATCCGTTTTACGTCTCCGTTTTCATCTGTCACCATAGAGGATGGCGCGGGTGGGGAACTTTCAGACTAGTGTTTGAGTAAGTGAATGAATCATGCCATATCTTGAACCTTGTTGATCTGTTCGTAGTTCCAATTTTAACTTTAGTAGACTTCCGGCATACCATTTTTACGGGAACCTCTAATTCTGCAATTATGACATCAGTTTAGCTGCTGAGCAATCAATCTCTCCTAATTGATCCAGCTGAGTAGAATGTCTTCTCGCAACCCAGTTCTTCGGGGTTGTCGAAGCGTACGGCACTCATAACCAGATATCTGTAGATAGAACGAGATTGACGGTATAACATCATGTAGTAACCGTGTAGCTGACTTGTCCGTTTTTTTGCAAGGTAAGGAGTCGGTCGAACTTTTGCTCGAGTGTGGTGAGGTTGGCAGCTTCGGAGCAATCTGGAGCTCCTTGTTGGTGAGTCCCGCAATAATCTGCCCAGCTATCATGTCGCACTAGCAGTTGATTCGCTAACGGTAGACTTCTGTGCCGGGACAATCAACTGTGAACGAGCAAGATTTGGCTTGAACTCGTAGCCTTGGTAAAAAAATGAGTGATTGACTCACCTTCCGCCTGACGTACGGAATGAAAGGTTTACCGGTGGCCTTCCTTGTACAAGCCTTTTACTGCAACGAATCTGATGTGTGAGAAAAGCCTTTCCTCCGTAACCGAATTTAAGGTTTCAGATCCTATAAGGTCGAAAAGGAGCCTGTTGACTTCGGGCGAGTATGTTGTTCTCAATTCCTTGCGTATTTCGACTGGGTTGGACATTTTACACATCTCCTTATACAAAGTCTAAGCGTCAAGGAATAATGCCCAGTCGTTGTCCATTGCGTTGGGTTCAATGACAGGGCGGTCTTTTTTGTGTTGGGAGTTTGCATCGTTTTACGGGGTTCCGTCCCACCGAAGTGCGATAGTTTCTCTTTGTAACTCTTTCATCTGTTGCATGAGTTGAGCAATCAAATCGAGGTTTCCGCCTGGTGCAGATGCCATGTCTTATTTTGTTAAGTTAGTTCCACGTATTCATCAGATTCTGTTCACAGTGCCATGTAAAATAACCACAACGGCAATGTTCGTAGCAATTCTTAATTACTTTATTGTCGTACCAACGAGATGCAAATAGAAAAATATATATGGTCCCTGTCCACTCAGCTGTTTATATAACACTGGAAGAGATAATATATGTCTGCCTGTGGAAATCCCTCATTGTCAAATGAGACCTTCCATTTGTACTCTAAAGATGTAAAACAGTAATTTCGCCATAAGATAAGATTCTAATTATGCTTCTGTATATAATAATGAAGCTCAAGATAATGAAAATCTTAAAAACTTAATTATTCAAATTGCCTATCGTTTCTGCACACAGCAGATGCTATGCACTTGTTGTCCACACTGAATTGTATATTGTACTGGAGCCTTTTCGAGAATAACTGTTTCTGTGAAGTTGTCCTCATTAGATCTGAACTGTTCCACTCGATGAGCGTACACACACACACACACACACACACACACACACACACACACACACACACACACACACACAGAGAGAGAGAGAGAGAAACAGATATTAGGTTGTGTGCATGAGGAGATAAAGCATGCCTTGTGTATATACCTTATGTACAGATGGAGAAAATATCTCTATGTATGTGGAATTGATGTGTACGTATTTGCAGATAATATCCCTTGTTTGTTTTGGATCGATACCCGTGTGCGTGTGTGTGTGTGGGGGGGGTATGTGCGTGTGTGTGGCACAAGCGTGTGTTTCTCAGCGTTCATGTCAGTGTATCTATAAGCGGACGTTCGCAGTTATAGCCGTTTGTTGACCTGCCATTCTTGCTACGACGCTATTAATTCCCGAGTTTTACGAGTAATGAATGACATCGCCTTCAATTCGTAGTTATTTCTATTGATATAATTTCCTTGGAAATGGTGTAAAATCCATCGAAATAAAGTTACGCTGCATTAAAAGACAGAAAACGTAGATCTTACGAAACAAAGTTTATTCTTGCCTTTAGATTTGGAAAATGACATATTCTTTATAACTTGTTGAATATATATATATATATATATGTTTAGTTTGGATCTGTAAATCGGTTATCTCCCTTCAATGTCTACGAAACTTATCCTTACCCGGCACTAAAATTAAGGCAAACCCACTGGCACGTTTTTCTTTCTTTTACTGGCTATATATTATGCCGATTTTGGGCACCTCGAGGCGGTGTAATGGTTACGATTGCTTTTTTGTTTTTGGTTGATGGCCATGAAAACGTAAGATCCGGTTGTCCTCACTTACATGAATAGCTATTTGTGATACAGTGACAAATACAAGATTTCTGGAGCATATCAATGAGTTCCGAAGCCAATAATTTTCTTAAATACTAAACTATTGATCAAAATCTTAAAAAAAACGCAGTATTCCTCCTAAATTTCGAATCATTTACATTGTTGTCATCCTAAAGCATCAAAGTGTGTGTCAGTTTGTTTATATGTGCATATGTGTGCGCGTGTGTATTTGTGTGTGTATGTGTGTGTTTCTCATCTTTATTAGACTGCTCTCAGTCATAAAATATACGTCATTGAATAGAAAAAGTCAGTCTAGGAAACAAACGGAGCGATAACGTCTGCTTTACACTTATTAAAACATCAGGATCTGATGTATTTCATGTTAAAGAATCTTTCAAAGAATCTGGTAATATTAAATATATGATTGTCTTAGTCAAATTTTATAAAACATTCAGATTACATGAACATACTAGCAACAGCTTTCAAGACAATTATGTTAACTCTCAATAGTATAACAGCCAGTAAAATTCCAAGTCATTGTAAATAGTTGTAACCTCCCGGTGAGAATGGAAGTCATTACATGGTCTAAAAGAGAAACGTGCAAGCGTTCATTGTACAGGAGGCATCTCCATTAGATATTAGTTAAGCTTAACTTAATCTAGCATAGGATTATAACTGTAAGTTACGCAGCTTATATTCGAATTACTACACTAAAAATCGACTGCAAAATTAGTTTGCTTCCCTCGCCGTATAAGAAGAAAATTTATTTACAAAAATTGTTTGTCTCTGCTCGCAATTACCGCAGATTAATTAACACAGTTACTTTAATAATATTTTCTAATATTTTGGTTCAATTACTATTTCTAATCGAAGAAAGCAGTTGGCAAAAATAATGAAAAAGGAAGAAAAAACAAAAATTAGCAGACGACATTTGGGGATTTGTAAATGAATTTTCTTCTTCGTCTCGGATATAATTGTAAGGAGATTATAGAAATCGACCAATGTAGAATTCCAAGAAAAACAAAGATAAATAGAAAATCAAACGTCAGTACTCGTTATGAATCTAAACAGAGATAAGAATTAAAAATGGTTTTACCATTTGAATTGTTTATGGTTATGTAAAATTTGTCGAGTCAGTTGAAATGCTTTTGAGATTGGGTGAGCATCAGTTAAACCTTGCAGGAAGTGGAGAAATACTTTTATCAGAAGAATTCTGTTTATTATCGGTTGTATCTAATAAAAACCGAAGCAGAGCATGTTTTAAAATAAAGTTTTCTTTTTAAGGCCATGACTCAATGTGACATGCTTTTTAATGACTTTAAATTTTCTCCAAGGTTAATGAAAGCCATGTTTATTTGCAGTTGAGTCAGGAGTTCATTTTCTTCATCTTTTTCCCAAACTTAGAAATGAGAAAATTTGATTAAATGAGCAAATCATTTGGATGAGCTGATAGCGAACATTCAAGACATGTAAAAACATGGAGGCAAATTTAAATCTAGTTTTCGTTTTTTTTTTTTTTTTTTTTAAATATTGACTTGCATTGCTTGGAATTAAGAAATGAGATATAGCCATTATTTCATGAATTGTTCCGATTTATATCCACATCTTTATCATTATATTTTTTGTTTTCTGAAAGAAACTATTATTTTCCCCGTGAATTATTCGAAATATTATCCTGATCTTTGTTGTTTTCCATTGCTACATTTCAGTCGTTATACTCTTTGTTTTCCTAAAGTAAAGAACTCATCAACTAATCTAAGGAATGTTAACAATTTCCATGTTTTGTCAAGTATCTCAGATACCAAGCAAATCCTTGCTTCATGTTTTATTTCTCTTAGATTTCAAATATGAAAAAAGAAGAATTTTTTCTTCCTTTGGTCGAGTATTTATGTTTTCCGTTTATTTTTATCCTTTTTGTTGTAATTCATTCTTTTCGCCATTCGATTGCCTGTTTCTTTTGTTTTCGATTTTGTTTCTTTATTTTTTATTTTCTTTTACTGCCTGTCGTGTTGGGATTAATCCTTTACGCTTTCTTTCTTTCTTTCTTTCTTTCTTTCTTTCTTTCTTTTTGACCCACTCTCATTTTCATTCTATTTTCTTTCAGTTCTTTGATTAATTTTTCTGATTTTCATTTTCGTTTGATAAATTCTTCCTTTCTTTTTTCCTTTGTTTCAAATCTTCGCTTTATTTCTTCCTCGCCATCTGAAATATTCGAGTCGATGTAAAAAGTGCGATGACTTTTCTTTGTTTTCAGCTGAAGTTATTAAAATTGTCAAAAGCACCTGGCCCATCAAGAGTTTTGCCTGCAAACTTCCCATTTCCTTTCAGGAAGGAAATGATTTCACTTAATTGTTTGGCCAGGTTTATTGTCCCTAAAGATAAATGGAAACCAGTGAAATAGGACATTTCCCTTCCATTACCAGAAGGCTTATTTGCTAACAGTCGCGTTGCACTGATTTCACGGTTTTTTCTTTCATATTTCTTTCATACAAACCATGGCTGCTTGTTTCCGGTACAGAAAATGATTTTCTTCCTTGCTTCCGCTATAGAATGGTTATTTCCATTGTCGTAGATGTTATGCCTTGTTGCCGTAAGATTACCGTGAATTTGCCAGGGTGCGAGAAGTTGATCATTTTTCATTCTCACGTTTCTGAAGATGGACGAAGTAAAGAAACAGGGTCATTGGAAAAATGTCGAAAATCCTGTTCTATGTGTACAAAAAATCGGGATTCTTTCCACTGAAAAGCAATGGATTATCAAATATTGTGTGTCATAGCCGATTAAAGATGAGTTGAACCTGGTTATTTTTATAGTACTCACACACGAAAAATCCGCCCCTGAAAGCAGATATTTGTCTGCTCTGTTGACATCCGGGTTATATGTACGATTAAACTTCTGTCAGTCGCGCTTGTATAACCTCTTCTTAGCACAAACAATCACTATTAATTAAACACATTGCGTTTACATTACGGGCTGAAATGTCAAAGGAAATGAAACAACGATTAGCTAAGGCGGTATCTTTTAATTAACTTCATAATATATAGGACTGTTCTCCCGTCGTTACATTTGTGAGGTAATTTACCGTTAATTTAACTGTGGATTGCCATTTGAAATTTTCTTGTATTTATTAGAGCTGTATTATATCCAAATGTTAAAAGAAATGGTATTTTATCATTGAAAATCATTTGTTAGTCTTTGTAAACTTACTCGAGTTTGTGAGTTCTGAGCAAAGATTTTCAAATGATTATTACATTGTCTTCTGAAAAATGATCATTTATCGTTTGATTTGGTCTGTTTTGTTTTACGGCATATCAACCTCAATGGGTTATTTAATGCTGACAAGATTTTTATCGTTGATAATATTTTTTTTTTCTAAAAATGTATATATACATGGTTATAACTGTGTAGCGAACAAACCATATTTTAAACCAGTTAATTTATAATCTCTCTCTCTCTCTCTCTACATATATATATATATATATATATATATATATATATATATATAAAATTTACAGGGCATAAATATTATAAATTAACTGATTTAAAATATATTTTTTCGCTACACATTAATAACCATGTTTCAAAAAATGAAGCTTAAAACTTCAAATTTGATTATGTAATTAAATTAAAAGCATTATTTCTGTTTCATTTTCAAGCGGATTTTGGAATAACTTATTTTTAAATTTACTGAGTTTTAAACGCACATATAAATCCATAATTTCATGTTTCCAAGGATACAGAGAAATCCAATCATTCAGACACACACACACACACACACACACACACACAAAGACATATATATATATATATATATATATATATATATATATATATATATATATATATATATATATATATAACTTTAATTTATATTTAGTATTTTCGATCAAATGACGCTTTGAAAAGCAGAAAAATAAATTTAAAGTAACTACCCCAAAAGCATCCGTTACACGAATGACCGTCTTTTTGTTAGTGTTAATGAAAATGGAATCTTTTGATAGGCTGCTGGAAAGTATTAGTAATTGCGAATCCAATTAGATGAATCAGAAGCCTTGATTATCTCAGATAAAACCATTGCTGATGTATCAGGGAGGATTTGAAATTTCTACTTGTCACAATTTGTCTTTTCTGGCTTTTAAGAATTATTGATTTTTTGCCAAAGCTCTTTTAAATGAAAAAAAAAATGTGGAACTCACCCCCTCGGAAGTTTGTGGATCCATTCCAGGCAGGCATATCTATGAGGTCAAACTGTGATAGGGTCATGCCAGCGTTCACATCCACTGCCTTCTCCGGACCGAATGTCCAGTAGTACAGGACATCCCTGGCTGTATAAGCGACTGCAAATATAAAAAGTATATATCATATGTGAATAATTTAATTAAAAACTTTAGTTAGAATCTCAATTGGAGTTTTTAGATAGAAAACATTCGCCAATGTTCAAATTTTTTTAAATAGAGTATTTTGAATGCCGATTTTGAAGATCAAACCAGCTCTTCCTTGTTGAAACATTGGCATAACACAAAAGTACAAGGATTGCTGAAAAGTCTTCGGTTCAAACCATTTTCTCAAATCTAACCAAATGATCAAACATTAAATGATTTAAATAAATTATTAAATATTCAGCTCTCCCCGTAAAAAAACGACACATTTTGAGAGATTCGATAAGACCAAACACTTTGCAAATGATTTGCAAAAATAAATAAATAAAATGGTCTCCTCATCTCTTCCTAAAATCTCACTGCTTTTTAGGCTCACCAACATAAAATTTCGCTCAAATATGGTAGACGGTTTTTTCAATACATCCCAGAAAAGATCGAACATCTCGCCCTCTTACCTACTTTCCAAATTATATATTCGAAACATAGATAATTATCTAAAATTGTTGTCAGTCTATGTCGATATATATATATATATATATATATATATATATATATATATATATATATATATATATATATATATATATATATATATATATATATATATATAGTTTAAAATTTGTTTTATTGATGGTGGAGGCGAGTTCAATATTGATATAGATTGACGATATAGACGGAAATTTTCACGTGACGATCTTGGAATTTGTGAGGTTGAGAGAGAGAGAAAGGTAGTGAGAGAGAGATAGAGAGATAGAGAGATAGACATACAGACAGATAGACAGACAGAGACAGCGAGAGATGGAGATAGACAAAGAGAGCTGCCCCAAAAGGACACCATGGTGGAAGTATTGGCCCACATGTACGATAATATAATCAGTTGGTCCCGGCATATTGAATAAACGTCCTAGAGGTCGAAAACAGTTTTATTTGAATAATGTTTTTCTATTTTCCACAGTTTAAAATGTCTATAGTATATTATGAAAATATATTTCTTCTATTGTATATCTTTTGATTTTTTTAAAATAATTTGTATTCAGGTACCTGGTGAATACTATATATATATATATATATATATATATATATATATATATATATATATACACACACACACACACACACATATATATATATATATATATATATATATATATATATATATATATAGATAGATAGATAGATAGATAGATAGATAGATAGATAGGTACATAGCGATAGATAGATAGATGTATAAACCAAATAACGAGACAGTAGCAACTGTATATGCGTGAGATAGCACACACACACACACACACACACACACACACACACACACATATATATATATATATATAGATAGATAGATAGATAGATAGATAGATAGATGTAGGTGTGAATATAAACCAAATAACGAGACATTAGCAACTGTATATGCATGCGATAGTGTGCATACACACACACATACACACACACACACATATATATATATACTTATATACATTTGTGTGTATATGCAGTAATTCATATATTAATTGAATGCATACGGTTGTACGAGCTGATGTGTTTTTATTTGATTATGTGAAATTTCTCATCTTCATTTATTCTTCTTTCTTTGGCTTTTATACGTTGTGTTATTTTTCGTCAAATTCAGTTCATCAATAACAGAAAGTTTCGACAGCATGTGTCTTCAACTCATCAAAGGTTCCGATGATCTCCCTACCTATTTCGGTATCTATAACCTGTTATCTCCGCATGTCAAGTACTTGTATTATTTACGATCATTGCTTTTTCGTTTTATCTTTCGTAAGCGTTATTTTATTTGTTTATTTGTCGATATTACCCGAAGATCTGTTTATCCTGAGCTGATTTGACGACAGTGATTTTCGTTGAGAGGAAAAAGAACATGAAAAGAATAGAATGTTTTATTGTGCTTGTATGAAAATTAGATATTTGTTCAGAAAGGAAAAGCGAATGGAATTATATTTTTGTTCTGTTTATTCTGCAGATGTTTTATTCGGATAAAAGATTTAGGTTATTTTGGAATAAAAATATAATAAAACGACGATTCTTTCGTTATCTACGGAAGTAGTTTCTGTTTTAGAAATTGTTATAACAATAATAATAATAACATCAGTATATTGTCTACGTTTTCCATATAGTATCAGAGTGCTCAGTTCTTGCTGAGAAAAAAACAAAACAATATTAGACATGAAAGGCTAGGACAATATATTAATTGCCACGTCTGTTCGAACCATAGAATTGAAGTCCCGGATGCATGATACAAACACCAACCGAATGATGTCACAAATGGTGATAGAGTGACTATACTGTGGAATTTCCCAGTCCTCACAGACAGGAAAAATCAATGCAAATAGTTAAAAAATATTCATAATGAATTAAAAAAAAAGGAATATGCAAACTAACTTGCTCACAGTGTTTCAATGTTTCTAAAAAAGAATTTCAAAAACTGTCATATTATAAGGATTTTCAAATCGAAGTAACAAAAATGTAGAAACTTAAAACTATCGGGCATTGGGTATGATAAAGAAGAGTACTGAAGTAAAACATTTGCTCTTACTTATCAATCATGCATAAAGCAAGGATGAAAAAAAATGACGTGATTTAATTGCGAGTAGCGATTAACCAACCATTCATTGCGTAATTAATATCAGAGTTTGATTGTTTTCGACTTGGCTTTTGTTTGCATGTGTTTACAACTGTTTCTGCATATAAATGTTAAGAGGAGTATGCGTATGGCTGTGACTGTGTTCATGTGTGCGTTTGTGCGTGCATGTGTGAACACACGCATATGTGTACATGGGTGTTTGTGCATAGTTAGCGTTTTTTTTTTGTTAACTTCTCAATGTCCATGCATATGTATGGAGATAGTTTTTTTGCTACCTCGATTGGTTTAAGTACTGGTCATAGATTTCGTTGTTTGAGATTTGTAAACGTTCAAGACATGTTTACCGTTTACAAAATGGAAATTTAATTTTGTTTACAAACACTAAATTTATTTTGTGTGACCACCTTTGCTTCTTTTCGAGAATTTATTGAATGGATAGTTCATTATCCTACAAAATATTTAGGTTTTTATCTTTTGTATCGGGTCAACCGATGTGTTCTTCAGCTTTAATCAGATGAATAATTAAACCGGCGACTTTTAGAAATAGCTTTGTACTTAATCTTACTCATTTCCTCAGTTTAACTAATTCAGAGAACCGAGTCCTAAAATCACAAGCTTGTGTGAAAAACTTTCACCTTGACAAAAATGAATGATTGTTTTGAATAATGAATCTCAAAAATTCGATAACAGAGCTGAAATCTAAGTACACGGTTCTGTGTATTTCAAACAGGTTGTACTTGTTATTGAAATCTACACCGCCCCACCAAAAAAAAAAAAAAAAAAAAAACTTAACCAAAACAAACCGGAACTATATGCAATAAAGTCAATATAGGTGTAACTATGGTTGAAGATATTTCAGAATTTTACTCTTGCCCACGTATGATAAATATGTTCGTTAAATTATTTATAACTATGGTATCGGGGTTTGCTACAAAAAAACCTCGATAAATGGAATCTCTGTAAGGTTTAAATTTTCAATTATCAAGTCCTTCCTAACAGTTAGGTCCATGAAGGTAGTTGTTAACATCCATTCATCAGATGCAAATGAAATCAATGCATGCGTTCTCCAAGTTTCGCTTCTTGCCTTGCTTTATATTGATGATCTGCCTAAGAACATTAATCAAATCTTTAGTAAATGTCGATGACACAGCAATTTATAAGTGCACCTTTAAAAATCTGGATAAACAGAATCTGACCTCTGACCTGGCGAAGCAATTGGGGATGAATTGGCGTGCAACATTCAATACCTCCAAAATCAAACTACTAACATTCCACCTATCGTGATGAGTGGGCATTGTCTCAGAGTTGCTACTTGCCTTGCACGTGTGTTGCCTGCTACGAAATTTGTGAGCTCACCCTAGAAAATGATCAACATTATTCCTCCCCACCGCTAAAAAAATATATTTAAAAATAGGGAAAATATTTATCAACTAATAAACTTATGAGTTTAATAAATCTGATTTCTAGAGCATATTCTATGTGTGGCGTCACCCCGTTCTGTCTCTCTGCCCCACACTCCGTCTATCTTGCGACGACCAATGTGACTTGGTATTGGTTGCGGCACCAAATGTGTTGTTCTAACCCTTTGCGGATTCGGATGGGAATCTGGTTAGATTCGGTATCAGCCTTGTCGTTCCCAGCTCGCCTCCAACGTCTGGTTACCGAATTAACTGCGTTGATTTCTAGTCTAACCTACGTTGTGATTTGATCTTAGGTAGACGAAATCAATCAGTCGCCGGGCCGCAATGCAAATCGAGTCCGAACAAGGGTAATACCGCACAAGTATATGTAAAAGAAAATAAAGTAACAACTCGAAAAGTTCAAATGTGTTAAAAAACAATAACAATATTTTATATCTGGTTGCTGAATACAGGACTTCGCCTTTCTCCCAACCCGCTTATATGTGACACTTTGGGTTTGTTAGGCGAGTCTTAACATCTTAAATTGTTTTTTTTTTTTTTTAAGAAACTGGTTTTTGGTGTATCTTCAGGCGGTATTCGTAAAACTTGTTTTGGTGGTGTGAGTTCTTCAAAAATAAATTGTTCTTGCTTAGAAGTTGAGGTCGTGATGCGTGGATCTTTCAGTCAGCTTTCTACGAGGTGGGTCTCAGAGCTCACAGCTCAACTCTGTCTGCGTCTGCCAACTGCGTCTGTGTTACTCACTCTGCAACTGCCTGCCTGTCTCTGACTCCAACTGCCGTCCACTCGCTGCGACTCTGCTTATATGGACGCCGACCAAAACCGGGGTGGTCTTGTCGGGATTTGAGTTTCCTTGATAATTCTAAATCCACAATAAGGATCTTCTTTGTTCTCGAACAGGAAAATTTATTACTTTCCATTTTTGGAAGCCCTTAATTTCTACTTAAAGGGAATCGTTCTCCCAAATTCTTCCTTTCTCATATTGGTATCTCACGCCAATCCCCTCAGAGGGCGTCAACAGCTTCCCCTCTCTCTCACGGTGGCATCTCACATCAATCCCTTCAGGGGGCGTCAACAGGACTCCCCTCCTTCTTCATAGTTTACCTTCGCCTACCGCTCACGCCACCCTTCAGCCAATGAGCGCTCAGCAGCGTGGGTGCGGCTAGACTGGCCTCGGTTTAAAAATCTCGCTCAAAGAAAAATAATATCTTCCCTTTTTTTTTCTTTTCTTTCTTTTCTTCTTCCCGACAACAAACCCCTACGAGTCTTATCTTAACCGAACGTCGTCTGGAATTCGTCAACGAGCTTTTCGTCAAATAATCATTGAGTTTGGTCAATGATTTTCCGCACTCTATCGCCAATTATCTGTTCCGATGAAAAAAATTTTCTATCATGGCCAGCTCTGACATAAAACAGGTGTGTTTTTCCAAATTATATCTCCGCAGATATTTAATGGTTTAATCTTTCCTTCTTTTTAACTTGTGGGTGGTCCAGCTGACATTTTTCTCGGTCAGTGCGTGACCTAATTAATATTATCTCTTAGCATTCTGTTTTGTAGGCCACTTGACCAATTTGAAATTTTCATTATTGCCATGGGCAGACGGCTATCTTTTATTCGCTCCGTCGTAACATAAATCAAATTAAATCCGACAGATCCGTGATTTTACTTTCTTCGCTAATGAAAATAAAATCTTTACCACTTTTCTTTGTTAGAAAAAATAACATCGCTCAGTGTCTTTTCGTGATAGCTTCTTATCACCTAAATTAATTCTCGCCCCTTTTCTTTTCACACAACCCTAAATAGTGTCACAATCCTCCCATAACCTATTTGTCATTTAATCGTAAATGACACCTAAACCCAAATAGACTA